GCGTGCGGGCGAGGGTGGGCGGGCGAGAAATGTCCCGCCTCTGGCTGAGGCGCGGACGGACCAAGAGTCTCCCGAGGTGTCCCTAGGTGTCCCGCCAGTTTCCCGCCGGTGTCCCGTCGGTGTCCCTATGATGATGATGACGATGATGATTATGATGATGATGTTGATGATGTTGATGATGGTGATGCTGATGATGATGATGGTGATGATGATAATGATGATGACGATGTTGGTGATGATGATGATGTTGATGATGATGATGATGTTTTGATCAAGGTGATGATGTCCCCATGATGATGACGACGATGCAGTTCATGATCCTGGTGATGAGAATGATGATGATAATGGTGTCCCGATGATGGTGATGATGATGATGATGATGAGGTTGCTGATGATGCTGTTGATGATGGTGATGATGACGGTGTGCCGATGATGGTGATGATGACGATGTTGGTGATGGTGGTGATGATGATGACGATGATTGTGTCCCGATCGTGATAATGAGGATGGTGGTGGGGTGATGATGATGATTTTGATGGTGGTGGCCCGAAGATGATGATGCTGATGTTGATGATGGTGATGATGATGGTGCCCAGATGATGATGGTGATGATGATGATGGTGTCCCGATGATGATGATGATGATGATGATGCTGTTGATGATGATGGTGTCCCAATGATGATGATGTTGATGATGGTGTTGCGGGTGATGATGATGATGATGGTTATGATGATGATGACGATGACGATGTTGATGATGATGATGATGGCCATGGTGGTGATGATGATGGTGTCCCGATGATCATGATGTCGATGATGCTGATGATGCTGCTGGTGATGATGGTGTCCCGATGATGACGATGAGGATGCGGATGATCCTGATGATATTGATGATGGTGAGCTGATGAGATGATGATGCAGATGATGGTGATGATGGGGCCCCGATGATGATGATGGTGCGGTTGATGATGCTGCTGTTGATGACGATGATGGTGATGCTGATGATGGTGTCCCGATGATGATGCTGTTGTTGATGATGATGATGGCGTTCGATGGTGATGTTGTTGATGATGAGGATGAGGATGAGGTGATGGCGATTTTGATGATGGTGGCCCGGTGATGATGATGATGCTCAGTATGATGATGATGATGATGATGGTGATTGTGCCTCGATGATGATGATGATGGTAATGATGATGGCAACGATGATGATGGTGTATCAATGATGATGGTGTCGTTGATGAAGGTGTGGTTGATGATGATGATGGTGTCTCGATGATTATGTTGATGACGAATTTGATGATGATGATGATGATGATTCTGATGATGATGATGATGATGATGGTGAGGTGATGATGATGATGATGGTGCTCCGATGATGATGATGGTGTCCCGATGATGATGATGATGATGATGATGCTGATGATGATGATGATTATGATGATGGTGAGGATGATTGTGTCCCGATGGTGATGACGCTGATGGTGATAATGATGAGGATGTTCATGATGATGGTGATGAGGTGATGATGGTGATAGTATCCCGATGATGATTGTGCTGTTGATGACGTTGATGTCGATGGTGTTGATGATGACGTCGGTTGTTGGATCGAGTGTGATATCGATTGTGATATCGGCTGCGATACCGAATGTGGGATATATTGTGGGATCGTTATTGAGCTCGATCGTGAGATCGATTGTGATATCGATAGCCATATCGATTGTGAGATCGACCGAATGAAATAGATCGATTGATATCGATTGTGAGATCGATCGAGTGAGATCGATCGAGCGAGACCGATAGTGAGATCGATCGTAGGATCGATAGTGAGACCGATCGACTGAGACGCTGGTTCTTCCCCTCCCCGAACCTCCTTATCACCCGAAGGGTGGTCGTATATGGGTGTATATATATAAAGAGAGAGAGAGAGAGAGAGAGAGAGAGAGAGAGAGAGAGAGATGGGCCTTCGGCACATTCCGCCACTGAGTTTAGCTTGTAGGTCAGAGGCCTCTTGGATGCCTGGCTGGACCTATCGGGAGGCCTTTCGGGAGCCCGTTGGAGGCGGTTTTAGTGTTTTCTTTGGGGCCTCTCGGGGCCTGATGTCGACCAGCTTGTCTGGGTCTTCTCGGGGCCTGCTGGCCGTCTCGGGGCGTCGAATGAGGGCGGAGCGCTCGACATGTCGGGCCGTGTTCCCTCTCTGGGACCTCTCCTGGGGCCCTCCTGTGCCATCATGGGGGCCTCTTGGGCCGTCTTGGGGCCTTCTTGGGGGCCGAGGGCCTACAGGTTAGCAGATTCGATTCCCCTCGGCCGTCTTGGGGCGATCTTGGGGGCGTTGGGGGAACACCCTTGAACATCAGGAGCATCAAGGATGTTGGCCTCTCGGCCCTTTTGGACGTGCTCTTGGAGCCTTCTTGGGGCGGCATCGGGAGGCCATATGGACCCTTCTTGGGGCGATGTTTAGGCGTCTCGGGGTCCTCTTGGACCGCCTGGGAGGGCCTCTTGGAGTTCTCTTGGCTAGCTTCAGGGCCCTCATTGTCCCCGACTCAGTAACGCGATAACATGCATGGAAATGCGGAATGCACTCGGGAAGCCCCGGCGAACACGTCCACTCTAGACGCTTCGCGTAACCACCTTAGCCCGTACAGAAACAATGTCCAGACGAGTTGCCTTGATCAGGCATGTGGGGGAGCACGCAGTGATGTAAAGGCTGGGAAGCCGTTCTACCCCGAAGACGTGGAGGATAGATGAGGAACCAGGAGGAGGAGGAGGAAGAGGAGGAGGAGGAGGAGGAGGAGGAGGAGGAGGGGGACGGGGGGGAGGAGGGAGGGCGAAGGGAGACGGGAGGAGTGAGGAGGAGGAGGATTGGGCGGATGAGGAAGAGGAGGAGGAGGAGGAGGGCGAACAAGAAGGCCAAAGGCCGCTTGGATCTTTCTTGGAGTGTCTTCGGATGTCTCTCGGACGTTTGGGGCGTCTTGGGAGCCTCTTGGCGGCCCCGGGGGTCTTTTGAAGCGTCTTGGGTGCCTCGGGGTCGCCTCTTGGGGTCTCTTGTGGGTCTCTTGGGGGCCTCTTGGGGGCATCTTGGTGGCCTCTTGGGGCCTCCTGGGCGCCCTTTGGGGCCCATTTGGGGCACTCTCGGGAGTCTCGGGGCCCATCTGGGGGCCATTTTTGAGGCGTTCGATCAAAAAAGGGGGGCTCCTCAATTAGTCCACCCGCCTGGAGACCAACATGCGGCTAACCTTTTTTACATGAAACATTGGGTTTGGCCATCTCGTCGACGCCAATGAGCGACCCTCTGACACCTTGCGCCCCCCCCCCCCTGTCCAGACCCAGGTGGAGGGGGGTAGGGGAGGGGTCAAGACACCCGCCCCGCCCGCAAGCTGTGTTGCTCACCCCCACACTCCCTCCCAACACATGAGTAGCAACTGGGCCTCAGCATGTTCAGCGGTCGTCTATGGATGGGCAGCTACTGGGAACCACTATAGACCCCATGTGCGCGATGGGGCGAGGTGCGCCACGCGTACGAGGCGTTCCAGGTGCGCCAGGCACCCCTGGGGCCCAGGCGTACCAGCCACGCCTCGCGCGCCACATGCGCCACGTGCTCCACGTGCGCCATGTGTGCCGCATGGTCCAGCCGCGCCAACTGCGCCACGTCCGGGGCACGCGCAGAGTGTGCCAGGTGCGCCCGCGCACATGATAGCACACATCGGGAAACATGTCGACCCCCACCGTCCTTGTCGAACACCAGTTCTCGATCGCGGCGGGGAGGCCATCATGGTGTCTGGGGGGCCTGCACACAGCAGGCAATGTGCCAGCACCCCCGCGGTCCTTGTCAAACACCAAAGGGCAGTGCGGGGTGGCCACGCATGCTCCAGATTCAGCCGCGAAGTGCGTGTTGTATCATTTTGTTGGCAGGGATGGTGGCCGTCCGCAAAAAGCAGGCAATATGAGGGCACCCCCGCCGTCCCTGTAACAAAATATTGCAAAGTGCTCGTGGGGCCCACAGTGTGCTTCGTATTGGTTTTTGCCAGGGATGGGGGGGCGTGTTGGTATCGGTCCTGGTTGGTTGCCAGTCTCATGGAGGAGGAGGTGTTCATACATAGGAACAGTGATAACCCCCTCCCCACAAGGGAAGAGGGATGTTCGAAGAGGAACCCCATAGACCACTCAAGCCCCAAAGGGCTGGTGGGATTTGGGGCCCTGGCCTTGTAATATGTGTATTTCACGACTGATGGCGGAGAACTCAAAGGGACCTCAGGACACTCCAACTCGTGCCGCAGGGCATGGTGGCGGATGTATAGACAATGTGCCCACATCGAGACAGAAAAAAGCAACACTGATGGTTTTGTAGCCCTCTTGGGACACTCTTGTGGCGCTCCTGGTGAGCTTCGTGGCCATCTTTCTGCAACCGTTTGCGAACCCTACCACAGCGAATCCCATCGACGCTCGGGTATTGGACACCCCCGCCAAGGTTCACTTGGCTGCAGACATCCATCGGATTTTAAACCCCAGCCAGTTTTTCAGCAATCTAACCTGCAGTGGTCGGATTCACATTTGGTTTCCCAGTCTTGGGGCCATCAAGGCCCTCCTTGGGGCTCTCTGGGGTGATCTTGCAGCTATCTGGAGGCCTCTGAAGCCCATCGGAAGCGAAGAGGCGAGAAGCCCACAAGTCACTGGAACACCGTAGGTTTTTGAGCGACTTGCGTTTATCGATAATGTTTGAGGCTGTCTTGGGGACTTTGGGAGGCGTGCTAGAGGTCGTCCTGAGTAATTTCAGACAAGTTTGCGCCATGCAGGAGGCCACCTCAGGGCATCTGGGGCCGTTTGGGGCCATCTTGGAGCCATCTAGGCAGCTCCCCCCCCCCGCCCCCTCCCTTCTCCCCCTCCTCAAATCGGACTTAAGATTCCCAGGGAGGGTCAAGATCGGGATGGGTGCATCCAATGATTTTACACTTTATTTACACGCCTCTTTACCCCTGAAGCTGGGATCGGCATATTCTTGAGCGTAGTGAAGGCCGGCTGGCTGTTTGTCCTGTCAGAAGGCGTCGGGCTCACCATCTATTTCTCCATGTCCGCCGTGATGGACACTTTTGCCATTTTCTTTATCAAGGGGGCCAGCGTTTGCGCGACCGTCAAGGCGTGTTCGTTGTACACAATGGCGGTCGTTACTTTCTTGCCGAATGTCCTGATTGGCAGCTGGCTGCAGAAGAAAATGTATAACGAGGGCGACTTGCCAACAAAGGCTTTATTCGTGGTGATCATGGCAGTCATCACCGTGGCATCATTCGTGGCACGAATGTGGCTAGTGTACTCCAAGGGCTATGTGTCGGTCGTAGACTCGTTGCTCAGCAACACCAGCTCTCACTGGAGAGTCGCGCTGGCTGTGGTGATTCCCCCAATGGTCGATGGCATTCAAAGTATGGCGCTCATCATGACTGGCAGTCATGCCAAGCCGCTGCTTATGGTTATCCTGGATACGCAGAAACAGGTTCGCGAGATGCACACGATGCTGAAAGAGCAGAACCACCAGATACACCAGATGCAAGACCAGTTGAACCGTATCGCAGAGCATCTTCAGATCCCTGTCGTCATGGACGTGCCCCGGGCCAACGAGGCCGAGCTGAGGTCGGCCACCCGGTCGCAGCCCGCGCCACCAAGCCTCGATCAACCTGACAAACGCGAGACGTCTTGCTGGTTCATGTGA